AGTAGTACTAACTCATCATTGCAAGAACAAGTAGAGGAACTGAAAGGTTATGCTGATGCTTTCCCCAAGGTAATGTAAATATTGCCCACAGTGGTGGTAGTTTTACTCAGTTTTTCCAGTGTGCCAAATAAGTCTTATTAATTTTAGCTTATATCTTTAACTTTCATCAAGAGGATATTTGCTCATTGTTCAAGTAATCCTGAATTCGTCTTATGACCTGGTTTCAACATCTTCATTCATACTTGGCTTAAAATACCTACTTTGTATGGTCCCCATTTCATAAAAAGTATTAACAACTATGGTGTCATTTTCAAGCAGAAAACCTTAAAATGTTTCACTTGTAAGAGGTTGTCTTAAGTCTTGCAAACACTTACATGGACATAAACTAACAAAACAAAGCACAATAAATGCACATTGAATTTTGTATCACCACACTTAAAACTTTTTTTTCCAGGAAAATTTCCTTAGTTGTGTTAAGAATCTTATATCCAAAAAAGTTTTGTATGTTCAGTCAGCCAAGTTATCTTGTATGTATTTGTAATAATGAAATGACTTTGTTTTTACCAGTCTCTCTGTAATTCCATCACTTGACTATATAAAAATTTCAAATTTCCATTGCTGCATTTATTCACCTCAAATCAAACCTCATAAAAGCATGTATATTTTTTCCTTGGATAATTTTTTTTGTACTAAACCCTCGATTTATTAATCTCATTTACTTTAACATGTTCACATATATGGGACACTGTGGTGATTGCCATGGACCGAAGTATACATTTTAATTTTATACATAGACCCAGTGTCACTTGGTTTACAGGACGCAGACCACTGGTTACTGGTTTGTTGCCAGTGATGCAACAAAGTAAAAAAAAAAACAGTTTTCCCATCTATCATAAGTCAATAATCATCATATCCAAAGACCAAGTGACGCACATGTGTGACAGACATCCCTGTAGACCACTGCAGGGAATTCAGGGCCTTAAAATAGACTGTTACGAAGATAAGCTTTTTAATAACATTGGAACACCAAAGCAAATATACAACGTCAGTCTATTTTAATGTGACCAGCCTATGAGTAGAAACCGGCCGTCGCATATGTACGTCGAATGAAAAATAGTACTATTGTGGTAGCGAAGGTGATAATTTCACCATACAATTTTTTATATCATGCCTATGTCGACAATAAGTTGTGTTAACATTTTGTTACATTTCAGTTGGAAAAAACACTTGAAGAGAAGGAAGAAGAAGTACGATCGATAAAAGCCTGGTGTGATTCAAATATTGATGTCTTTCACAAGGTATTGTGGGAAACTTTGGTGAAGTGGGTCAGATCTCAACTGGCTTGTGCTGTAAAGCCTTTAAGATCATTTGAATTCAATCCTGCATTTGCCCTAGTTTTACTTTGTTTACATACATTTTTGCCAAAAACAGTTTATAAGCTATGAATCAAGTTTGTCATTTATACAATGTATTTTTGACATATTTATATATCATAAACTAAATAGAATATTTTTAAGTGGACAAACAATGTTCAAGTTATTTGAAAAATTGTGACAGTTTTGTTTCCCACAAGAGTAAAGGATAATAGGATTATTTTAAATATCTGTTTAAGGCCAAGTCACACCGAGCTCGCTCCCGCGGCGGGAGCGAATTTTTAAAAATCGCTCACCATGTTATCAAATGGGCCAAGTCACACCGCACTACCGCGCGCCTGCGGGCGTGCGGTAGTGTCCGCCACGTCCGCCTGCTGAGCGATTTTTTGAGAGTACCGCGGCGGGAGTTTTGTCTAGCGCATGCGCAAAGGGGGAATTCGAATGCCCAAACTATTTAAAGTTTAAAAGTAATACAGTTTCAAATTAAATTTAACATGTTTCTTTTGTTTGATGATGTAGTATATGTTGTTTTGTATTAGCCTATATTCGTAATTATGTTTATCACCAGAAAAAATCATTTTTGTTTACCATGCAAAAATAACGGTTACAGTGAAAATTTAATGTTTCCCATGAACATTTTTATATTGCCAACGTAAACAACTTTTTTTACCGTTTCATCAACTTTTTCGATTTGCAACAACCAAAACTTTACAATCAATGTAAACTTGAACTTACAATAGCAAACTTACAACTACAACTTAGCAAAAAATTACATTAGTTTTAAAATGGTCATATGTTTTTATTTCAAAAGTAAATAGTCTTTGTAGTGTAGCGAAAAATAACGTTCAAAATGCTGAAAGTGGATAATTTATCCTCAACCATATTTAAAATGCTTCAAACACAAGGTCTAAATTAATTTAAAAAAATAATTATTCACTTTTTAAAGTAGCCCTACACTAACAAATTAATAAACATTCAATTGCTACTTAAGCACTTTACTTATAACCTGCAAATTTACATGGCATACTAAACAGTTAAGATGAGTTTCTTATGTAAAACGAATTGTAATGAACTCATCTCAAAACTCCCGCCGCGGACGCGAACTTTTGGTGTGACATGGCTCGAGGAAAAACATCCGCGCGCGGTACTCCCGCGGCGGGAGCGGCGGATGTCGGTGTGACATGGCCTTTAAATGCTTCAGAATAAGTTGGACATCTAAGTTAATTTATTGACAGTTTCCTAAAAGTGGGTAAAAAATGTTGCCACAATATAAATACAATTATTAAATTAAGGTAGGAATTATAATCAATTTGTTAAATTTTTTAACATATATATTTTTGTTATATACAATGGGAAATGGCTTGAAATTAACCCTTTGGAGAAGGAAATAATGCGCTGCCTGCAAAACCCACTGTTGGCAATTAATTTTACCTAATTTGTAGACTCTTTCATTAATTTTTATACAAACAAAACCTTAGGTAATAAATTAATAACTGTTTCGCCATTTTGTTTACAGTAAATGTATCTAAAAAAAAGTGGTAATTGGATAATCAAAGAGTAAAATTTAAAAAATTAAATTATTAAGATTACAAAAAAAAATTCAAAAAATTTTTTTTAAAAGTAAACTTGATTTTAAAATTTCATTATTAATCTAGACACCGAATTTCACTACTATTATAAAGTTCAATTGATTCCCTACATAGAAAAATCACAAGTTGTTTACTTTTATAAGTAATAACATAGAAAAAAATGTTTGTTTTACACAGCTGATTTTGGGTGATATCTGGTTTTTATGGCAACACAAAACCTTGTTTGTTATTCGCAAAAATAAATGAGTGACTAAGCAAAACAAGAAGCAAGATATTTATAAACATCATAAAAGTAAGAAGAAACTAAAAAAGGGGGAAAATATAATAATTAAAAAACTAGTGGCGCTGCGTAGCAGCGACACTAGCGGCACTCGTAATTCAGCCGCCGGGCCTGCAGCAACCATACGAGTAACGCTCATAAGTCTGCGCCGATGGGTTAGCAACAAATGTCATCAAAATTGGTTTAAAATGTCAGAGGAATTATAATCGCAGCAACCAACTCAGAAATATGAACATATAGCCTTAGAAAATTAACATTCCCATTGGATGCAAAATTATTTAAGTTTACTTTCGTTACAGAAATTGGCTGAACAAGAAAGAAAACATCAATCGGAACTTGAAATATGGAAGATGGCGGAGCTGAATAGAACAACATTCGGCCAGGTGCAATCAAACAATCCGTCTAATCCGTACGGGAATAGCTACGCAAGCCAATACCAACCTCAGAGGCCAATGCAGGGCTACCAACCAAATATTAGGTTCCAAGAACAAACAGCCACTTATCAAGCAGCCTCACTCGTTACACATTACAAAAATGTTCTTCCGAGACAAACTACGAACATGGTGCGCCCTCTGACTAGTTCGGATAATTACAAATCTGAATTTGTGTCAGCAAGTGAACTATACACACAGAATCAAACAGCTGGCAGAGGAGAGGAGAAAGAGAATTCAGGTGAGAAACTTGGAGAAAACAAAGTCGAGACAAACAAACCGAAAATTCTTGTTCCAAACAAGAAGAGAAAGTTATTTAGTTTGAATCAAAATATTATTTAATAGTGTATATTTTCTAGGTAGGTCTAACTCTAGTATGGTAATTCTAAATTAAGTTTATTATGACATTTTTTAAGATTTAAGTAAGTGAAATATTTGGTTGAAGTAAATGTTGTGTAAGAGGCCTTAATAGTATTTTAGTTATTTTTAATACTGTTTACTAATTAATTTAGTGATTTATAAAAATAGTCTTAGTAGGTAGGTTAATTGATTGTAAAATGATATTTAGCCTAATAAAATGTTTTCAATATCTGATCATTTATTTACCGATTATTTATGGAATTTTAATTTTAATACTAGGATCAAACCAGGAAGTGTAGTAATGATCAATGTTACACTACTATTTGCAGCAACCTCAAACATCAAACCAAGACACTAACCCTAAAGATTACTCTGAAAAATCAAACCACTATCAAACATCGACCCACCACACTCCCGCCAAAACATCCCATAGAACTTTACATCAGTTTCATTTTGCAAGGCTTTACCGATCCCAGTTCCAGAACAATTTACCCAAACTAAATATATAAAAAAGTCGAACAAAAAAAAACATACTTTCACCCCTTTAAACACATTTTGCTTTAGATGGAGTGTTTTTACAAGAGTTATTATGCCAGTAGAGGATCATAACATTTTGAAAGAATGTTGTTCTGGGATGTCATGTAGGCCTACATAATAATATTCCGTTAGCTACTACTTTCTTAACATTATAACAAAAATAAAAAATTAGTTTAGCAGATGAATATGTATAAGACTGCACTTGACAAGTAAAAAAGCAAGTTCAAAACCTAACACAAATCTAGTCACGTCAAGATTTATTTTTGGTTTCCCAATTACTTCCATGAATATCTTAAGTGGCTAAATTCATATGGATAAGCATGCCCTAGATTTTAAGAGGAGTTTGTAACTGAAGTGTTTACAGCAAAAGTGGCTTTAGTTTGGTCTTATTGTATGATTTTATCAGTTGTCACGTGTCGAAATGCAAAATAAAGTTGAGTGTCCAGGAAAGACTTGAGATAGAGTAATGCTCTGCTTCAGTGCAATCTCAGTGGCTGATATTCAAGTGATGTGCAACTAGTGACTTTTATCTCGTCTTTTCCAACTTGTATAGGGTAAAATGGAAAAACCACCACAGAAATCTCAAAATGGTTACCACACCAACTCTTCAAAAAGTATAGTAAGTAGTTCTTTTTATACATTAAACTTGTTATGGACAGATTTAAAAAATACCTTAATCCAAAAAAGGCAAGATTGAATGGCTATAGAAACTTTACTGTTAACTTTAGTAAGATGATGAATTTAATTTTAATTTACCAAATCTGTCCTTTCAAATGTTCAGTTAAAAAATGTAGTACTGTATTAATGAGTCATACAAGATTTTTGTTCAAAGTTTGTATTAACTTATTTTTTGGATCAATATAACTTTTTTCATTTAAGAATGGGAGTATGTGTGTTCATTTAAGCCGGGTTTTCCTAGGCGCGGAAGTGGAGAGCGGAGAGAGGAACGCGGAGAGCGGACACCACTTGTCTTAGGTAATTTAATGTTACTGTTTTCCTAGAAGCAGAGCGGAACACCATGTTAATCCGTTTTCCGTTCTCCGCGTTCCTCTCTCCGCTTCCACGCCTAGGAAACCCCAGCTTTATGATTGCTTGAAAGTGCCATCATAGCAAAGAGTGAAATCAAATCAGTTTATAACCATAAAGCCCATCTCGAAAATTGCTTTTTATAATTTATTACAAAATAGTGAGGACTAAACTTATGTATGAACACATGATCCTTGTTACAACACAACAATAATTATCAATTCATCAATTAGATTTTTTAAACGTTGTACACAAGCGACATAACTTAACTTTTTAGGCTCTTGCAGGAGCATAGATTTTCCTTCACATTATTTACGGCATCTATGATGAGGCTAATGGTCGCTAAAGGGAGAACTATCTGGAATAGTTTAGGATGAAGTAATAAAGAAACAGTGACAATCAGATTTGATCTAGCTTGCTTCACTGTTTCAGGAACTGAATGGAGACATAAAAATATTTCCTTGGTTATATTCTAGCCTTTTCTCTTTTAAAATCCATGAGCTTTTCATGTAAAAAAAAAACACCTTAACCTATAACATCAAAAATGTTCTATAATATAAATATTCCTCATAAAGGAATTGAGATGAAAAGCTATCCTTTCTAATTCTAGGAGGCATATGGCCAAGATGAGAAGAAGAAGAATGGTTCAGCAGAAGGACTGTCGGTCCTGGGAGCTGCAGTGTTAGTCGCAGGAGAAATGGCAGGAAGTGGGATACTTGCTCTGCCTAAAGCAGTTATTGACTGTGGTATGAATGTTGAATAAAAAAAATACTAGGCTGTTACAAAAAGATGTTTTAAATAATAGTAATTAATACAAAAGTAGCAGACACGTTTTTTTACCTAAATTTCAGTTAACTTTAACTATATTCATATATAGATGTATAACATTACAATTTTTGCTCTGTCAATAATACATTAGACCTGGGAAGTTGTAAAACATAAATTATGCAGTGCAAGTTACTCACTATTTTGTTTCAATACCAAGTCAAGTAATAACTACTTGAAACCCAATCGCTAGTTTTTTTTTTGCCTAAAGATACCGTACAATCATGCGCAATGTGGTTCTTCTAATACAATCAATAATCTCTGATAAAAAATTATTGTAATTTGATCATAATGACTTTTGGGGCTGTTGAAATTTGCTGAAGAGAATCTGTGGATCATTATAACTAGGTATTTATTTACCAAGATTTACACTTCCCTGCCATCTTTTTTCAAAATTCTAGCTATCTCTAATAATTTAATTTATTTTAGTTATCTTATTATTGAGAATATAATGACACATTATTATTCAGGAACGCTATTAAATACAATTGCACTTTATACCTTGCTTGTTTTAATTTGTTAAAAGTTTATATCTTGACATGGGTGGGCCTTGAAGATCAAGCTTAAGTGTTCAAGAATTTGTAAAACTTTTCATATTACTACTCCGTATGCACGTTTGGCAGGCTGGCCCGGTCTTCTGCTGGTGCTGTTGTTTTGTCTCAATGCTTGCTATGGAGGAACAAAGCTGGGTAACTGCTGGGCCATTCTGGAGGAGAGATATCCTGAACACAAGAAGGCTACGAGAGACCCTTACCCAACAATAGCCTTCAGAGCTGTAGGCCGGTGGGGCAGGTCAGTTGATTGCCTATGTAACCCTTATGTACTAATGCAAGTGAGTTTACAGACTTTCAGCCAACGGTACTGGTTTTAAGACATGAGATACCTAATCATTAATGCACTGCCGTTGAAGATAAACTCATTTGACTACCAAACATTTGACTTTACCTCAAGTAAATATAACAAGTGTAAATTAGAATACATTTAATGTGTCTACACCAGTGTCATTATAACTTAAGTTAGCTACCACAAATGCTCTTACCATAGACAAAAAGAAATAAATATAGACTGTAAGCTGTGCTGCGGTTAGCGTGTATTCCGGCGCCGACCGCTAGGCGTAATGTGTAGTTACGGCGCACACCGCTGCAGCATCAAGCGCTAGCGACCGTTTCCATAACAACTTGGTAGTTGGGAGTAGTGTTGCCAACTTTGGAGGAATTCCCCGGGATTCGAGTTTACTGACTTATTTAATATTAAGCAGTAAATTAATTTAAATGCCATAATTTATGGTATTTTTTTTTTTAAACATATATTTGTTATACTTTTGTAGTTTCATTACAATGATTCAAAGTTTTACTTTATTAATCCATAATTTTAGGAAGTGGTTTATTGGAAGGTTTTGTTTTATATTTGCAAGGTAAAATCTAATTAACCAGGGTGTCTAGTAGTCGGGGAAAACGGGAAAGTCAGGTATTAGTATTGATTTCAACATGGTCTTGAAAAGTTGGGATTTAGTCTTTATTTGATATCAAAGTCGGGAAATTTAATGATTTTACCGCGATCGCGCTAGACAACGATCACGTTTCCGTGACGGCGCAAAATGATGATCATGTCTACACGTCCGCGGGAGATTTTCTTTAAACCGCGACCGTGCTAGACGACGTTATCGTGACTTCGGGATAAATTATCACATCTTTTCTACGATCACGCAAAACGATAATGTCTACATGGCCGCTGAAGATGTTCATGATTTTGCCGCAATCGTCGACGACGATGACGTTTCGGGACCAGACCACGGCATTCAATGATGACGTCTACACAGCCGCGGAGGATGTTCATGATTTTGACACGATTGCAAAAGACGATAATAGCGATATAGTAAGCATTTCGTTTGCAAGAGTGGTAGTGCTGGTAACAGCTGGCGAGTAGTCAACGATGAAACCGAATAGAATACTGATAACCGATATCGAACGGCGATAACGCTCTAGCGGCAGATCGCAAAACCTTTATGTGGTACAAACATTTGGGGTTTAAAAGGAGTTTTATAGGAATTACCCTACTACAACTTTAGGTTTCTAGAAAATTGTGGTCCAAGGACTTAAAATCACAGACAATGGTCACACAATATGAAACTTATGTTTTGTCTTAGTATTGTTTTTCTACAGAGATGGTAGATTAACGAGAAAACTAACATTAATGAGTAATTCTTATCAATCTACTGACTGAAATCCAATAGGCCTACTGTGAAGAAATCTCAGTATTATGTTGCATGAATATATTTGTAAAATTCATTGTTGTAGCCCCGGAACTGTAATATATAAAATATTTGGTTTTACAATACCTTTATCAGTTCCAAACTACACAAACTGTGGTTGGATAAGGTAATTCTTCCATTTTATCAATTATATATTCCAACCAAGGGTTACAATGAATAACAGCAACCTTTAGGTTCTATAAAGGTTTTACTAAATGAAATATAGTATATCAAAGGTACTTTTTGCAATGGTACAAAATGATTAATAGCTGTATTCTCTCACTGCTACCAGCACCCTAGTGTCAGCCTGTATCCAAGTCACACTATTTGGAGTGGCCATTGTCTACCTGCTGCTGTCCGCCCAGATAGTACAACAGCTGCTGAGAGAGTTGTTGCCTCAGGTGGGATATTGCCTCTGGTTCCTCATCTTTGCGATTGTCATCACACCACCAATGTGGCTGGGATCACCAAAGGATTTCTGGTGAGGTTCTCTTTCATACATGGGTGTCAATAGTGCCATTGATATTCTAGTTAATAGCTGTAAATTTGTAAAGAATGTTTTGATTACGATTGGTTTGGAGGAAAAAGCAATGGGCAGTTGAAATCACACTTCACTACACAATAGTCAAAGTTCACTGCATATAGAACTTGTTTATTTTAAACTGGTATTCTACCTCATTCTTTTGAAGAAGTCCTTGTTGGTGCGGGCGGAATATTAAGTTAATTGTATTGGGAACATGGTGTGTGTTTTTAACTCTCTGGAACACTTTTTATTTTAGATGGACGTATTTTACACCAAATATGAGTACAATAGAATGGAGTGAAATGCTTCGTAGCTTTGTTACATAGACCAATAATTGGTCTTTAGTAGTAAATTCGTTAGTAGTAATTTTTTTGCCATTACCATTTCAATGCCCCCCAAATAAAGGGCATGCTCAAGGACAACAGTCCTTTATTTCAAGTGTCTTTGAAGCATAAATATTTTACAGGATCGCTGGTGTCGGAGCTGTCCTGACTACAGCTATAGCTTGTGTTCTCATTTTCATCAACATGATCTCAGACGGAATACACAACACGGAGCCAGTTCCGCACAATCCTCACAGTCTCACAGACTTCTTCTTCTCCTTTGGCACCATCTTGTTTACTTACGGTGGTGCTTCTACCTTCCCCACCATACAAAATGACATGGCACGCCGAGACAAGTTCTACATCAGCGTCGCTATGGGGTATGTTGGTGAGTCAAATTTGTTAGATAAATTTTTTTGGTTATTTTTTGTAGGATAGTGCTTGTGCAAAACATGGTTGGAATGTAGAAATATGGTATTTTGTTCAGAGATTAGATGCTCTTTTGGCAGCAGTTTGGTGTTTTTCAAGGACAATTATAAAAGAAGAAATGTCTTACTCCTTTTATGGAATGAATGATGATTAAGCATGACAAATACATTTACATTATGCAGTCATTAAAAAATATACGTATAACATTTGTATTGTTTTGTTTTTATACAGCTTTTTAGTTTTTTATGCATCCAAGTAAACAATTTTATTTAGTCAACCCGAACGTAATGTATAGAGAAGTGCTTGGAGCGACAGGTGCGACAGTCGCTAATAGCAACAAAAATAAGTAAAATCTCAATAACCACAAACAGCTCGTGAATAGACAGATTTTTTAATTTTTTTTTAGGCGAGCTTATTTTACTGCACCGAAATATTGCTGGCCCGCCTTTCCTCCAAAAGTTAACATTGTGTTCCTTGAGGAAAAAAGGTTGGAGAACCCCGATGTTTCACCGTCACAAATCTAATCGAACCTATTCACAAGCTGATCAATATGTTGCAGTTGTGTTGGCACTCTACATGCCCGTAGTGTTTGCGGCATTCTTTGTCTACGGAGACGCTGTTAACGCTAACGTAGTATTATCTCTCAGTCGAGGAATGTTTGCTTCCTTTGCCAACATGCTGATGGCACTTCACCTCATCCTGGCACTTCTCATTGTCATCAACCCAGTCTGCCAGGAGATCGAGGAGATCTTTAATGTCCCACACAGTAAGTAGGATTTTCAGCCTTGTTATTTAGAATTTGGCAACTGCTTTTCACTCTGTTACAATAGCCTTGAAATCATTCTTGAAAAGCCTCTCACGAACGCTGTAAGAGTGTTGGATCATTCAGAGCCAATTGTACTAAATTAATTTTGTACATGATTTTATTTCATTTGATTATTGTATTGTATAATATAGACTACAAAAAATACACTGGCGTTTGTCCTAAATTACAATTTAAATCACATTCAATAGTGTTATTGTACTTCTACAGTATTCCTTCAATAGGCCTATATAGAAATAGCTTGAGCTCGAGATATTAGTGGTTAGGTTATGAAGGTCGTGAGGTAATAGCATTGTCAAAGTACAACACCTCAGTATATGGAATTTTGATATAACACCCTGACATCTGATATGATTTAACCTCGCTTACTAAAAAAAAAAACTCAATAACTCAAATTTGTATTCGTTTCCTTTCAGTTTCAAGATATTGAGGTCCTACTGTATTAAATTTTCTTATTTGGTGGTGACAAGAAAAAAATTTCATTCATTCTTTTAAAGCTCTAAGCTCTATTACTGATGACTATTGCAGAGTTTGGTGGCAAGCGGTGCTTAGTCCGATCTTTGATGGTGTTGCTGATGATAGTGGTGGGGGAAACTATCCCAGAGTTTGGTAAGATCTTGGCGCTAGTTGGAGGATCTAGCATCACTCTGTGCACCTTCATACTGCCTCCCTACTTCTACATGAGGCTCTGCGATCAGAAGAGAGCTGATTGGCCTGAAAGGTGTGTTTGAAGCCGCAAAAAATGTCTGTTTTTAATTTATATGCCTATACGGCTAAAGTGCCTTATTTTCTTTCTATAACAAAAAAGAATCAGCGTAGTTGAGAACATAAACTGTACTTATTAAGTCGACTTATGATTTTGGGAAAGACAATTAAATTGTCCTGATTATTAACAACATCCCTTTTTAAATTTTTTATTTCGTCATTGTGTTTTTCTATGTGTAGTCATTGTTGTTACACTGTATTATCTACTTTTACCAACATTTATACAAATTAAAATTTAAAAACTTTCAGTAAATATGAATTTATTAGCCTATGGTGTTGACATATAAGATGCTGTACATGACAAAATTGAAAATATATGTTTCCACATTGTATTCCAAACATCAAACTACAATGATTTATTGAAACATCTGTTTCAGGTTAATACCCTGGTACGAACGTGGTTACATGTGGGTGCTAATTATCATCGGATTGGTGGGAGGAGTGTGCTGTACGTACAGCGCAGGACACTCAATTCTATCAGCAAACTCGTTAACAACACCATGTTACTGGCCTGACTAACAAATGGAATCCAACACAGACCACATGCATTACTTTAAAAAGACTTGAAAAATGTTTTTATACCTATTAATTTTAACTGTACTAGTATTAAAAGTATGTCGCCAATCCTTAAAATTAGTTATTTTCCAGATTGTTTTTATGGCGTATTATCTATTATGTTTATATATACAATTTTCATTAACAACAGCAACAGATTACAACTTGTTTGAGCTTAGAAAATATTTTCTCACGTTTCAAATAAAATCACAGAGTTTCATCATTTGAATAAAATGTATTTACAGATAAAAAGTACAAAATGCCAATTGTTATATTAACTAGGCCTATGGTAAAAATAGTGTCTTTTAGTTCGATCGAATGTACGCACGCACAATCTTAACATCATCTGTGGGTCGATCGTTTTTGTCAGTTTCTACTAATCCGATTCTCTTCACAACACTCATTCCGGAATGAACTCTACCTGTAAACAAACACAATCTTATGTCTTTCAGTTGATAGACAGGAAAACGGACCAGTATGCAGACAATTGAAATAGGTTATGAATCAATAACACATAGGAACGAAAATATGAGAGCTTGCATATCGAAGTACCGGTAATAAAAAAAAGTGTTCATGCCCTTCTAACAATAAGATGGCGACATTTCATCCTTATGTTAAAGTTGTCGCCAGTTTCTTTTCCCTCAAAACCGTTGTAGTTAATGTTAGCCACTGCAAAGTATGTCATTGCCTCTAGAACATATAGTTGCTTTAGCTGAGTGTGGCCGTACATTTCGAGAGTGGCAATGACTGTGCTCGTAAGTCGTATAGTAATACACACAAGATTTTTTCCTGCCACCATAACTGACTAAAATATCCTTTGGCTATTTTTAGGCTTACAACTAGACATACCATCCCCAAAGTTTAAGTTGTTGCCAGTTTTTTTCTCAAAATCGGTGTAGTTAATGTGAGCCACTGCCAGGTGTGCTGATCTAAATTACAGTACTAATTTCTGTTGAATACACGACTTTTTACCAAGCCCAACTGATGTAATGAATTATTGGGAGCTATAGCATCTGTTAAGACCCATCAAATATGTCCGCAACAAAAAATTAGGTGAAAAATAGAATTTGAGACACTAGCACATTCTGTGAAAAGCTGGGATGTTAGCAAAAATATTAGAACAGAAAAGGTATGGATCAATGGGTCATAAACATATAAACAAATTATGTCACCGGCCCAAAATTAAACATAATTTAATTTAACAGTATCCATATGTTAATGTTTTTGTTTTTAGTAAAGATTCAGGCTAGTTGAAACGTCCTTTGTTTATTTTTATGATCCATACCGTTTTTGTTCTAATATTTGTGGATGTTCTCCAACAGTGAAATCAGCTGATTTAGTGAGCGGGAATTAATGAAGCAGAAATAAGCTATTTGACATATAGGCCTAATACTGTTTACAAGTAGGCCTATGGCAATGTAATCATTTCCATGCAGTGGTAGGAACACATATTGTTATCTAACACAAAGAAAATTATAGATAAATAATGTTTGATCTTACCAAATATGGCATGTTTTCCATCGAGCCATTGAGTAGGAGCGAGAGTTATGAAAAACTGTGATCCGTTAGTGTCAGGACCCGAGTTAGCCATGGATATTATACCAGCTCCTGGAAGTAAAACTTTTTAATATGAGCATCAAATAAGGCCAAGGAAAGGCCAGAGGTGAAAAAGCAAACAGTATTGAAAGGTATTAGCCAACAGATTATTTACGTACATTTTCCATTACAACTGTAACCATTGAAAATTTTCTTCTTAAATAACCGGGATGGAAAATGTCCGCAATTATCTTTTAGATGATGCATGTACCCACCATCACCAAAAATTAAAATGAACTTCAAACAAAAAATGTCGAAAGAGCTGGAAGACTACAATAAAAAATGGCTAGACAACTCAACTTATATTGAAATGAAAACTTACAAGGCAGTTAAAAGAGGTTTTTTACCTAGTAAGAGGAGTATGAATGTATTAATACACTTAGGCTACATAACTTAAATACTACATATAGGCACTACTTTCAATGCTTATTATGTTGAAGTGATTTCCATTTGAATTGGTATGGTTAATGGACAAAATTTTAATTTTCCATCAACATAAGGCCTAACTAACTTCTTGATCAGCATCGTACGCCTTACTAAATTACCTGAAAGCACATAATATATACGTAACATCTAATATATAAAATTCTCGTGTCACAGTGTTTGTCTGCAAACTCCTCCGGAACGACTTCACCGATCGTTATGAAATTTGGTGTGTAAATTCTGTAGGTATGCGAATCGGACGTAAACTATTTCCCGTTTCGAAATTCTTAAAAGGGCTCCGCCCCAGTGGCTCTGGAGTTTCCCATGTTAACCTTATGAGAAATGGAATTAATGAATCTTAACAGCTGTTTCAATTAAACAAGTTGGTTCTGTTCTATGATGTTCAATAGCATTAAAGTTACAAGGATTACCAACAGGGTGCAGCACTATTATTTCTTTTACATTTATGACAACAGCTAATTTGCAACCAAAAGGTGAGTGAGCGTAGCGAACGAACTTCAACCTGGAGGCGAGTTAGCGTAGCGAACGAGCTAACCTGAAGGCAAGTGAGCGCAGCGAACGAGCTCCAACCTAAAGGTGAGTGAGCGTAGCGAACGAGCCCCAACCCAAAGGTGAGTGAGCGTAGCAAACGAACTTCAACCTGGAGGCGAGTTAGCGTAGCGAACGAGCTAACCTGAAGGCAAGTGAGCGCAGCGAACGAGCTCCAACCTAAAGGTGAGTGAGCGTAGCGAACGAGCTCCAACCCAAAGATGAGTGAGCGTAGCGAACGAACTTCAACCAGGACGTGATTGAGCGATGCGAACGAGATCATCTTGAAAATTAAACGTAACGGTACTTTCTTTCCATCGGTCTGTCTTAGGGGAAACCTATAACTTAGGCGATACGAAGTTCGCCGGGTCAGCTAGTAAACTTATAATAATATATTTATACTTATACTGTTTACTCGCAAGACGGTAAATACATAGACCTATAAAAGATGGTAAGTGGTGATTTATTTTGATTGGACAGTCCAATCCTCATCATACCCAATAGGAGAATCGTGTCCAATCGAAATCGATCACCACTTAGGCCTATCATAAATATGTATTTACCGTCTTGTGAGTAAAATAAGTGTAAATATTATTATAAGTGTTATTTGACATATGTTATGTGCTTAACATTAGCTCAATTAACTCAACATGACGTAACATTACTATAATGTTGATTGGGTTTTACTAGCGTTTTAAAATAAATATAGCCATCAACACGGTTAGCAGGTAACATCAAACGGTATTTAAAAGCAAGCCTATCTAAATTACCCTGTTACTCACCCGTGTGTTTAAGGTCTTCGTGTATTTCATCCGAAAACGTCCGACCATAGATGGAAGAACCCCCTTTGCCAGTCCCAGTCGGGTCTCCACCTTAAACATATTCCTTTTTTATAGTGACATATAAAAAAATATCTTAAATAAAGATTTCTTTGAAAACATAAATGAACTTAAACTTGAATATTTTTCAATTGGAATAATTATTTTTAATAGCCTACTCCAAAAACACCAAATAATGTTTTATTACCTAGACAAATATAGGTAGGCCTAACTAAATTACATGTCAAATATAATATGTCAAGTAGAAATGAGCCATGTTGCCTAGCTAAAATTATTATGAGGCCTAGGCCTACTTAATTCTGAAAGTATTAGAATAACTTTGAGTACCTGGGGACCGAGCTTTGCTCGGGGAAAATCATTAGTTTACTCTGAAAGCAGTTTTGTATTGCAGATACATTAATCCACTCCCAAACTCCACACTGCTCAGCTTTACTACTTCCTTCACCACGTTGTGGACCTGTTTGCCCTCATTCCCTATACCATTTTAGAATTGCAGATACATAAATGCCACAGACAGTTCCCACACTCTGCACTGCTAGCCTTACTACTTGCTTAACCATTTCCTACGTCATGGACCTGTTTTCCTCCCTTCTCATAGCATTTTAGGATTGCAGATACCCTAATGTAATCATCATTAATAGATCCCACACTCCGGGCAGCACGCCTTGACTACTTCCCTCACCACTTCCTACGTCACCGACCTGTTTCCCTTCCTTCCCACGGCATTTTAGGTTTGCAGATACCTTAATCTAATCTCCATTAACAGTTCCCACACTCCAGACTGCTCACCTTTACTACTTCCTTCACCACTTCTGACGTCGCGGACCTGTTTCCCTTCCTTCCAACGGCATTTTAGGATTGCAGATATCCTAATCTACTCGTCATTAACAGTTCCCACACTCCGGACTGCTTGCCTTTACTACTTCCTTAATGACTTCCTTCGTCGCGCACCTATTTCCCTGCCTTTTTTATAGCATTTTAGGTTTGCAGATACCTTAATCTAATCGTCATAAACAGTTCCCACACTCCGGACTGTTTGCTTTTACTACTTCCTTCACCACTTCCTACGTCGTGGACCTGTTTCCCTCCCTTCCCATAGCATTTTAGGATTGTAGATAACTTAATGTAATAATCATTGATAGTTCCCACACTCCGGACAGCACGCCTTGACTACTTCTCTCACCACTTCCTACGTCACCGACCTGTTTCCCTCCCTTCCAACGGCATTTTAGGATTGCAGATATCCTAATCTAATCGTCATTAACAGTTCCCACACTCCGGACTGCTTGCCTTTACTACTTCCTTCATGACTTCCTTCGTCGCGCACCTATTTCCCTGCCTTTCCATAGCATTTTAGGTTTGCAGATACCTTAATATAATCGTCATAAACAGTTCCCACACTCCGGACTGCTTGCCTTTAGGCTACTACTTCCTTCAACACTTCCTACGTCGCGGACCTGTTTCCCTCCCTTTCCATAGCATTTTAGGATTGTAGATACCTTAATGCAATCTTCATTAATAGATCCCACACTCCGGCCAGCTTGCCTCGACCACTTCCTTCACCACTTCCTACGTCGTGGACCTGTTTTCCTCCCTTCCCATAGCATTTTAGGATTGCAGATACATTAATCTAATCGTCATAAACAGTTCCCACACTCCGGACAGCACGCATTG